GCGAATTCGATGAAGGGCTCATCAATTCCTTGTTTGACACCTGTAAGTTCGTCGAGTGAGATTGAACACGACTTATTTCCACGATAGTGTGATATGAACTCTTGGAACATCTCACGACATGATGCATCGGGGTAGTCTCTCACAAAATTGTTGTACCAGGTGAGGGCATCTCCTATGAGGCTATGTGCAAATAAGGCCTTAAGTGGGTGCGGCCTATCACGAAGCATTGAGACTGCAAGTAGGTGAAGCAGTTGTGGGTCACCCTTCCCATTAAAGTGATTGCGAAAATCTGGGATGGCATAGCCTGGTGGTAAGTCATCGAAGCCATCTAAGTGAGTCTTGTAGGGCATTGATTGTCCTTTCTAAGGTCACATATTTGGAATCCGCTTGTGTGGGTTGAAGTGGTGGATTGCTCCCCAAGGTAGGTGGATGAGCAGCTTGATAGATGGGTATAGATTGATGTGGTGGTAGATAGATAGGTTCTACATGAGGTTGTTTGATGGGTGGCGCTCCTACAGGTTGTGTTGGGTAGATAAGTGGTTGTGTTGGATGGTAGGGATGGTTCGGGTAGGGAGCATTATAGATGGGTTGGCTAGGTCCTACTTGAGGTTGGGGACTAGCCTGACTAACATGAGGGAGCCCTGGGTTGCTAGGTTTGCCCCTAGCTCTAAGTTTCCCTAGTTGTTTATGGCTTGGAGCACATCTTGGACTAACGTAGGGTCGAGTGGGTTGTCCATCATAAGTGGGTTGGTCCTAAAGGCCAGTTGGTTAGTTCTACGACTGCTCCCTCAAGTGGATGTTCTAAATGCAGTACTCCTAGTGGGCAACTCCCTATTATCTCGATCAATAGTCGCCGAGTTTTCAGGGTTGCCCCCACTACGATCACCAAGTTGCTCCCTATTAAGAGCCTGAACTTCAGGCCTAACCTGGCCTCAGTGTCTGGATGATTGTAATAACCCCAACTCCTAGAGTATAACTCTCGGCCTGATGTCTTGGCTATTAAGGGTGCTCCTAGCAGTGCAAATTTGATGACCCTCGGCACCTTGTTGATGACCTAGTTGGTCATGTACTCGAATATCAGGAAGCTTAACTATGATATCAGGTTGGCCCAAGCCTATTGGACTAACCTAAGGTTCATAGTTCTTGTGGACTGCAGAGTACTGCTCCCCTAGGCAGCAAGGTGATGCATCCATCTGAGGGCCGGGATGAAGCGGTAAACTCGGTGTCCGAGTCCCACACCACCCCGTCTTGGTCGAAATACATCTTTTTAGACTATTCAATAAGTAGAACAATCGAAATTGCGGGGTAATTCTATGTCTTTATGGGATAAGGCCAAGGTTTGGGGTGTCCTGACTAAGGGTAAATTTCAAAAGAGGGTAAGGTATGGGTACACCCACCTTTGGTCTGAGTCCCCGTGCATGTAGCTATGGGACCAAAGTCTTGTGGGGTGCTCTTAAAGGCCGGGTTTATACAGAGGGTGAGCTCCCGTTGGGGGCTCGGTCTCCCAGTTGCCCTCTAGGAACTAGGTGCCCATTCCTGAAAAATTAAGGCTGGATCCGGGGTTTTCGAAAACTATTTGGGATTTTCTTTCGTGCCCTCTAGTGTGTGATTTGTGTGTAATACAAATCTGTGCTCATGACAATATGTATCAAACAAACAAGTGCACAAAGAATAAGCGCAAAGAAAGTAAATGTGAAGCACAAGCACGATCCGTGCAAGTGTGGTGCGCCTAGGCCGATGTGGGCTCTAGCAAGGCACAATTCAGGGGAAGGGCCGGGTGGCCCAAAAGAGTAAGAGCAAAGAAAATATGCAACAAGAAAATAAAATAGAATGCAACAAACATAAACTCACTTTTTCTTCTTTTTTAAACAAAAATGGTAGGGTGAAAGTCCTACTTCAAGCAAAGAAAGAAAGAAAAAAAAACCTTTTTATTTATTTATTTTTTTAAGAAAAAGAAAAACTCAAAAATCATAGTGCAGTAGATCAAAGAGCACAAAGACAACTACCACCAAAATTTGGGAATTTTTTTGAGCAGCAAGCTAAAAGCGAAACTAGTTATAACGCAAGTGTAATAGGGTGTTGCGCCTGTCAATAGCTTACTGGAAAACTCCAGGGACTTATGACTCAGTGGAGTTCCTATTGTCACAAGCGTAATAATCAGAAATGCCCAAAATTGAGGGCTCAATAGGTATGCGTAAATGACTCTTACGCAATAATGAGTCCTTCTAACACAATCTCCAAAAAGCTTTGTGACCCACTAACAAAAGGAGAATTGTCAAGAAACACCAAAGGAAGACCTAAACCGCAGACCAGATCCTACGATTTGGCGGTATTGGTGTGTATTAAAACAACCATGATGACCTAAAGGCCTTTATGCTTGTTGTGCCCAGTCTACCAAATTTCATAGAGCTGCGTAAATATGTGTTACGTTGACGTTATTGATAGTTACACAATTTTCTCCCTAACTTCTTTTTGCTATAAAAATTCCCTAGAATAAAAACAACGAATTTCCACCTAAAAGCACCCCTTGGATTGGAATCCAGAGGGTATTTTCAATAGCTTCAGTGCCCCACAAGCTTGACGGGCCCCACGGTGGGCGCCAGACTGTTCACAACAATACCTGAGAGCAGCGACACATGGCACGACTCTTCGGTCGTGATGCCAAGCACCTTCGAACGAGAATAGAGTAGATAAGAGGTAGAGATTGGAGCTCCGCTAAATTATGGTCCGAGAGGGAGATAATCGTAAGGACCGCTCTCTCTCACGAACCACCAATAGTTATCGACTTTATGGGACAATGAGGCCGAAAATTCGCAAACAAAAAGAAGTTTCGGAAATTCTAAAGCAAAAAAAGGGTGAGATTTAGAAAATGGTTTTGAACTAGGGAACTAGGGCTAAACTATACTAAATATGCAAATGCAAATTTAAATAAAAGAAAAATTGATGAACTTCTTGAAACCGTGCTCACATGCCAGGCACCCGGAGTTGGTGGTCTGACTCAGATCTAAGATTGTGCGCCGACCTCTTTCGCCTCTTAGAGTTTGCCAATTGGAATTGAACAATGTTAAGATAGAATCGGTGTTAACCTAGGTTTAAATGGAATACTAAGCCTAGGGTCCATGGATGGTAACCGAGAGTCTTTGATTTGATCGGCTTGGGGGTATTCTTGGCTTAGGATATGGTTTCCGAGGTTCAAAGTAGGCGCAGGGGTCTGTGAGAGGGGAAATTAGGATTCTTGGCCTTAGGGTTTCTAAGGATCTGGGGTTCAGTGTATAGAGTGAGCAAGGCTTTGCCTATCTCTCTAAAATCCAGGGTCCGTATATTGTAGGTGAGGGTCTATATTTATAGGCTAGGACCTAGATAACAGCTCTTTCAAGTCAAGTGGCGGTTAAATCTGGGCCATAGATCTCTTACGAAACACATTATTACTCATGCGTAAATAGGTGTTACGCAGGCATGGTGGACCCCACAATTTTGGCAGTTTCATGCCATCTGCCTTGTTATGTTTGTTGAGACGTTCTCAATTTGTAAATGAGTCGTTTTAGGTACGTTTGGGTGGTGGTAATGGATTTAAATTAGGAGTTTCACAGGTGGTGGGTCAAACTAAGGTTTAGTGGGGGTCAAGGTTTTAATTGGGTTTGACTTAGGATTAAAGGTGTGGCCCAAGTTTAGGCAAGTTTTAGGTTGGTTAAGGCCATTTGAGTAGGTTTAAGCTTGTTTTAGAAGGTTTTAATGGAGCTTAGGTCTAAATTGGAACATTCAATGGTGGTTAAGTGCTTATTTGGGAAGGTTTAAGGAGGTTTAGTGGATTAAGATGGTTGAATGAATTTAATTAGGTTCTAAATGTTCATTAACTTCTATGGTGCTTGGGATGGGCTATGGTGTATGGAGAATGGTGGTCCTAGGGTGTATGGCAATAGTATGGTCCCTAATCTAGTTTTAGGCCAAAAGATGGATTTTTGATGGGGCGAATTTCAGGGTTTTGGTTAGGGGTTGGTCTAGGAATGGTTTAGGCGTATACTCCAAGTTTTTCGAGGTCTTAGCTTCCAGGAATTTCGAGAATGGGGCGTCTATAATATAATATTTAGTATAATATATATTATATTTATATATAATATTATAATATAAATATTATATAATATATAATATTTATTTTAAGAAGGCCTCGTCTAGCTTAACTACTGAACTCTTTAGCCTATAGATTGACTCTAAAGCTTAACGGCTGAACGAGGCTTTAGGAAGGCCATGTCTAGCTTAAGGACTGAACTCGTTCGTTACACAACATGACTGAACTCTAAGTGGTCTCATAGGACTCGTTCCATAGACTGAACGAGTTCTAAGTCTTGTTGCGCTAGATGACTGACCTCTTAGGAGGCTTGAATTTAAGAAGGCCTCGTCTAGCTTAATGATTGAACAAGTTCTAGACTCGTTGCGTTAGACGACTGAACTCTTAGTAGTCTCGTTATGAAAGGTCAACATTAGACTGACTGAACACTTAGTGGTCTCGTTACGCAACACGACTAAACTCGTTCTAGACTCGTTCCGTAGGCATCGAGTAGAGTATATAAGCACGGAGGCAAGCCTTACGTCACTCGTTGGGTCAACAATAGACCGATTGCACTCATTTAATTATATTTATATATAATATATAATATATAATGTTATAATATTATAATATATATTAATAAAATAAATATATAATATAATACAATATTATAAATTATAATATTATATTATATCATATTAATAATACTAATATTATGTATTTATATTATTGAATGATTATCAATAAAAAAAAGTTACGAAAGATTAAGTTCCCGACCCCTTCAAATTTAATATTGAAATTTTTGTTGAAGAATTAGTTTGTGACTTTTTTTTTTTTTGAAAAGTGTGCAACAAATGCAGAATTTTTTAAAAATCTAAAATAATATTTTCTTTTAAAAATACTTAAAAAAAAAAAAAAAACGAACAGACGGGAGAGGCCTCCATTAACGTGCCTCTTTGTGAGGATTCGTATTACCATGCACTCAAGATAGAAGCTGCCTCAATCCCCAATTGAACAGCAATTGATATCGAAAGGGACCTATTTTCTGTAATCTGGTAGAGAGAGAGAGGGCGGCTCTTCTTCCCTACTTGTCCCATCCTAGAGAGAGAGATGGATGACCCACCCATTGAGAAGATCTCCATCCCTGGTCCCCTTCTCTCCTCCCTTCTTCAACTCTTCGCCTCCTCACCAGCGGACACCTCCGGCTACATCTTTGGCCATTTACTCCCTCTTTCTCCCTCTCCTCCTCTTCATGACGATTCGGACCCACCTCCATTTCCCCCTTCTTCTCCTCCTCTCTTTGCAACCATAACCTCTCTCTTCTCTTCCCCCAATAACCCCAACTTTCTCTCTCCTCTCGCATCTTCGACTGCCCCACTTCTTGGTTGGTTCTCTGCTCGTCGTCAGACCCCTCTTCGGCCTTCAATGAGGGAATTTTCTATCTCTAAAACACTTTTTACCCAAACCCCAAATGCCCCCTCTCCATGCATCTTTCTCATCCTCTCTGGTTCTTTCTCTCACCAACCCATTCACACCCACGAATATCGTGCCTTTCAATTTAAGAGTGATGGTACTTTCGAGCCAAAGCCGTTGCAAATTGTGAATATTGGGCCTGATTTTCGACCCCATTACAATGTTTTTTCTCCTATCTCTCCCATTCCCTCTCTTGCTTTGAATGAATGCGAAGAGGATAAGAGGCCAAAGAGCTTGAGTGAGATGAAGGGAGAGAAAGGGGCAATTGAGCAGAAGGCAATGGATGCTTGTGCGGAGGGGTTCTCAATCACTAGATTGGGAAGGCTTATGGGTTCAGAGCCTGCCCGTTACACAGCTGAGCTTGAGGAGCTCTATGGAAAGATGTTAAAGAGGCTTGAGAGCTTGGCTCAACAGGTGGTGGAGAGCTCTGCTAAGCTTCTTGAGCAGGTACCACGCTTTTGATTCATTTATTTATTTTCTGTGAATTAGATGAAATTACTAGGAAGGCCATGAGATTCCGGCAATTTGGGTTGTTCATTGGTTTTTTCTTTTGGGTGATTTCTTTCAATCTTTGTTGATGAGAATTCTGCAAATTTGATGCAATTTGGGTTCTATATTTGTTTCTATTTGAATTAGGTCTCAGAAGGGTGAGGACCTTGAATTTCCTTTAACCCGTCCTATGCCTGCCGGGGTAAAGGAGATGGGTTGTGTTAGGTAGGCAGCCAACATAAAACTTTGTCAAAATTTTCAATCTACGTTATTTGCTTATGCTAGGGCCTTCTCTGGAAGCGACGCGTTGTACCAGAACCCGGGTACAATGAGAACTAAGCAAGGGTTAGCTAGGTTGTTCCTTAAAAGCGATGTGTTGCACCACTGCCCAATTGCGCCAAAAAATAGGCAAAGATTCCCGTGACATTGGTGAGCACTGATAAAGAAGTTAGTCCAAGATAATAGGATTTGTATAACCACATGAAATGTAGGAACACTTATAGGTAAGAGTATGGAGTTAGTGGATACAATGAGACAAAGGAGAGTAAACATAACTTGTTTACATGAAATTAAATGGAAAGAGGAGGAAGCTAAATAAATAAATGGGTATAAACTTTAGTTGGGAAAAAGCTCTGATGATGATGATGATTTGTTTCTCTTTGAATTGATGAGACTAGCAAGCTATAAGATTACTATTAAATGTGTTCTATGATTGCTATCCTTTTTAGGGTTTACTTTTGGGTTTGTATAAATTTGAAATTCGGGTGAATTTGGTCTATTTGTTTGTAGATATTCTAGGGGTATTTGTGTCTTATGTTGTTGTAGATTTTCCAAGGTATTTTTTTATAGCTTATGCTAGGCAAATGAGGGATTAGGAATTAATCGTGATTAGGTTTTTTAGAGTCAACTATTAGGGTTTTTTGTGATAAATATATGTATTGTGTTTGTATTTACATATAGTAGTTAAATTGAGTTTAGATCTTGTGAAAAGATTTATTGGGGTGGACTACTTTGTAGACTTTTGAGAGAAGGGTATATTCTTTCACCTTTCTTTATTTTCTATTTTATTTTCTCTCTTTTTTTGCCTGCCTTATTTGGCATTAGAGCTTTAGAAGACCCTCACTTCATGATGCCACCAAAGATCACTCACACAATCAAGGATATGAAGCAATGATTCATAAAGAATCTAGTACAAAATCTGATCAAGCTAGGGAGAGTTTGAGGGAAGACTTCTGAAGATATATTAGTGAACTTTGTGAAGATCAAAGAATACACTTTGTTGGAAAGATGTCAGTGGCGATCCATTGGATTTAGCATAAAATTTTGGTTGCAACGAGAACCCAAACCACCGCAAATTCAATACATCAATTATGAAGAAGAAGACATGTTGGCTACATCATGTGAATTGCAACCCTTTGAGAAGAAAGAGAAATCAATGTTATGCTCGATATTATGGTATTCCAATGCAAATTCGTTATTTAATTGTTTTACTAGTTGTTTGATTTGAGTTGAACAAAATGCCTACACAAACGATGGGTATTGATCATGAAACGCTTTAGAGGCTGCTGGTGGATGCAACGAAGGTTGAGCTTTTCAAAACATTGGATGAATGATGCAGTTAGATTTTGTTTTAGGTTTCTTGAAATTCGGAATTAGGGATTTCGACACTCTGCTCAAATCATAACCCTACCCTAATGTATGCGCAATGAATGGCTCCTTCCAGTGGAGCCTCCCCATCTCCCTCCTGTCTTAAGCTCTGCTCCAAATAAGTCTACCTCCTCAAGCCCTCTTCTGCTTGCCCGCCCCCTTTGGAGTCTTGAGGTTGGAGGCTCTTTCCTCGTGAGCCACATCAGCTCCCCTCCCCATTCCTCCACCCTCCTGCCTGGTCCAACCTCCTCTCACCTTCTCCATGGTTTCCAGGATCCTGCCCTGAAACTTAAGCTCTCCTCCGCCTTTATCGGTTCTTTCAAGCCACGACGTGACGAGTTCCATTGAATAGAGAAGTGAGCTCAAAAATTCTAGGGGTGCCTCGATTTATGCTGTAGAAAACTCTCAAATAGAATTTGATCAATCCTTCTTTCTGTCGTTAAGGCGGAGAATTGAACCAAGAATTCTCTTTCTTCATCATCGATCAAATGACTGTTCGCGACCCAGGATTCTATTTTCCCATCATCCAATCGCTGTTCACGTTTTTTCTTTTTCTTATCGGTCGTTTCCTTTTCATATTCTCTTCTTCTTAGATTGCTGCAATGACTTTACAATCCAAGACTGAGAGTTTTAATGGAGCCTCTCTCGAGCTCTCACACTGGTCGCAGGACATGGTTAAGGGCTTTCAAAATCCCTCTCCATGCTTGGATGCCGAAAACTTTCAGAAGCATTGCAAATGCCTGTGGCTCTCTTGTCTCCATCCACTAAAAATCTATTGAACTTTTGGTTGAATAGATTGAACTTCGCATCTGTTCCATTCAACTTTTGGTTGAAACCCTAGACCCGAACTCCATTCTCCCTTCTCTCTAGTTACAGATCGATGGCTTGTTCTACCGAATCCTCCTTGCTTCGCTCCCTGCTTCCCCTCCCTCCTCCCCCATGTCCAGACCCTGGACCATGAAATCAATTGTGCTTAGGTTCAAGGCGAGTGGATCACCATAAGTGGGATACACAGAGTTTTACCCCGGAACCGTCATCCTCTCATTGCAAGGCGGGGAACTTCCCACAGGCCTCTCACCTAGCCTCAGCCCATCCAATTCCTGCCCTTGTCTCCTTCCCTCCAGCTATCAAGTCTCCCTCTCCTCTCATCCCTGGGCATGCCACGTCGCTCTCAAACCCCTATTTTTTCCCTCTCTCGCGACGTGTGTCCCTTGAGCCTTGACATGCAGCCACCTTATCCTCCCCACGTTGTCCCCCCCCCCCCTTTTACCACTTGTTCACGTGACCGACTCTCTGCTCTCAGGCCATGTACCCTCCCAGCCCTTAATCCTTTCCCCCCCTTTTCAGCCTTCATCATTACCCCTATACCGTCTCGGCAAGTCACCCTTGCCTCCTTCCTCCTCGCCCATTGCTCGCCCGATTATTCTGTCCCCTGCAAACCCTCCTCCTGCCCTTGTACGGCTCCTCTCTCCTCTGCCTCGCCTCCTCCCTTCCCCCTAGACCTCTCTGTGATCCTCTTTCTTTCCCCTCCTCCCTCCCAGACCTCGCCTTCGGCCCCTCACTCTTCTCCCCTGGTCTATATAGAGTTCTTGTCTTCTTGACCTCTGCTGAGGCCTCTATCCCTGCAAATATGGCCCCCCTCCAGAACGTCGCTCAAGCCTCTCTCTTTGGCACCACCCCCTCTTCAAAGCTTACCCCAGAAGACACCAATCTCGCCCTTGTGGCCCCTCCCCCAGTCATAGCTCGAGCCTCGCAATCTGGCGGTTCCCCACCATCGATGCTCTCCTAATTGGATCACTGCAGTCTCACTCCGTCCCTGATGTTCTCAAACCCCTTCGCGGGTCCCCAAATTGTTCCCCAATCCCTTGCTAGCTCCCTCATCCCAACTCTTTATTCCCTGAAGGAAAGCCTCTGACCTTCCTAGTCACATCTAGCACTCACTGCCTGCTCTTCCAGTGTTACTATCTCCACCCCCATCTCTCGTGCCAACCTCAACCAACCCTTCACTCCCTGGTTGTTCCTTCCCTTCTCCCTTTCTACACCCCTTCCCTCTTCTCTCGACCCCTACCTTACAGTGGGGTTATCTTCCCTTTCCCCTCCTCCCCTCTCCCTCTCTTCTCCCTTCCCCCCTAACCCCCCTCCTTTTCTCCAACCTTCACCATCTCTCCTCCTTCTTTCCAACCTCTTGCTTCTATCCTCAACTATTCACTCTCTTCCTCCCTCCCTTTGCCTTTCATCCTGGAGTCAACTCATCCCCGTTCTCAACCACCCCCCTCCTCTTCCTCACCCCTCTAACCCTTGTCCCCTTTCTAGCCTCAGCGACTTCTCAAGCTTCACGCAGGATCCCCTTCTCTCTTCCCCTCTTTCAGTAGACTCCCAGTGGGTGGAAGATCTTGACTTAGCACAAGGTAATGTAACTCAGGTTCTCAACGTTTGGGTCCGTTACAAAGGCTTGCAGAAATGCTTTCATGACTTTTTGAAACAAGATTCTCGGTCTGGCTCAAAGGTCTCGGGAAGAGGGCGAAGGCAGATCGCAAACATGTTAATTCTAGCTTGGAACATATGGGGTCTAGGCCACCAGACTAAGAAGGACGCCGTTTGTGATTTCTGCAAGCATCTACGCTCATCTATGTTAGCGCTTTCAGAGACCAAACTGCCTTCCCCTGACCTTAATCACATTTGATCTCAATGGGTTTCCCTCCCGGCTGAGGGGGCATCAGGTGGCATTTGGATCTTATGGGATTTTCATATAAATATATGTATTGTGCTTGGTAAATCCTTTGAGAAGTTGAGTTTATAGGTCTTATAAAAGATCTCTAGAGGTGGACTCTCTTTCAGACCTTTGAGTGAGGGTATATCTTTTCATATTTCTTTATGTTTTGTTTTATTATTATTATTATCACTCTTTTCCTGCATCAATTGTTTATTCAAATGTTCTAATTTTTTCTCTAGTCTTCAACATTGCTTTCATTTTTGTCAAAGTTATGTACAACTGTTTATTTCAATCATTTACAAAATTGAATCTATTTACATTAAAGCCCATAACACATTAAAAATTGTAACATAGTGAAGATTTCGTAACCCCTCCTTTGGTTAGCGCATTTGTATCTATATTGTTCTCCTTGAAAGAAAGCACAAAAAGAACATTTATTTGATTTGGGAACTTGTATCCCATATCTCGTCCAATACCATCTAGAGGTTTAGGGGGGCAAGTCCCTTGACCAGCAACACTTTAGGAGCTGTTCCAAGAATCTCCTTCTCTAATAGCACGCGGACAGGTCCCTTCTAGCTACGAGCTCCATGCAATCTCC